AAATTCTTTTATGAACTATTTTTGTCTAAAACCCGTTTAAAGTCATCTTGAGATGGTCATTAATAAAAAAAAGATGACAGAACGTATAATTTTATATCAAAGATATAGCGTTCTTTGTATTACATTTTACTTCCATGATATACCTCTGTACGTAAATACAATATAGTTCATCGTTTTATAATATTATATAGAATACAGTACCTTTATTTAACACTTATATGATATATTGTTAAATAAATTATACAGCTCACAGTTTTCATGAAATACGATAGGTATTTTATTGATATTAATATCGTTTTACTTATATATAATAATCCCCGTCTTAAACCACACTTTATAATAGATCTTAGTATGAGTACAATGTGAGCCCAGCAAATTTGGGTTAAACGTCCACTCAATACAACTTATATGGGTCATTTATTTCAATGTTTGACTAGAACGAGGGAGTTGTGCCTGTTGCCTGACATCGTGGATTTTTTCAGGTTTCTTCCCACTGCTGAGTAATACTGTGTACAGGCTAATTAATAAAGAAAACAAAAGATGTAACAACAGAGGATCTAAGATTAATCTCGCAACCTTTCAGACCATTCAGATAATCAAACCTAAAAAAACAAAACGGGAGAATGACTTTATTGCTAGTAGGTAGATACTAAAGACATTGAATCACATGTTATTCGAAAAATAACCGAAGTACTGTTTTAATGGGACGTTATACTCAACCCCTTTCCTTATTGCGATTCACATTATGCAGAAGGGTGTGCTTACCGGTAATGTATTCAAAACTGCCAAATTGTATTTGCATCATCGCGTGAATGATTCATCAGGATTGTCTTTAGCTAGAATAATACTATTTTTTTTATTATAGTTTTGTCAGTAGCTAACTGAAATGACAATATGTCCCCAATACAAAGACTGTGTGGATATCCGTACCCAGGAAAATATGTCCATTTATTTTGCCAAACTGTCAATCCTCACATCCCGAACCTCGCAATTTCGCGCCTTCGGTCATCCAATTTCTTTTTTGATAATCCACCGAATTTATCAGGCGTTTTAAATTATCAGCATTCTTGCAAAATGGACATAGTGACTTCCTTCCTAACTTGTCTTTAGCAAATTTCTGGCAACGCCACCGATTTGCATTTAGATGTTCCAAATTATTAACATTTATGCTAAATGCTATAAGAGACCTGTCTCTCGTCTGGGGTTCATGCAACAGACAAGATAAGATATTATTTTATTGCATGGTTACATCCACCATGGGGAGATCATTTATTCATGTACAATGTTAGACAATCAGTCGGTGGTTATATATATGTAAAAATTAAAAGATTTTTGGTATAATAAAATCATTATAGAGCTAAAAAAAAATGGCTTCAAAAGAAAACAAACTATAAAACCGTCAGTACATATTGCATGTATATAATTGGGCATGGACCAATACATCCGCTCCTAAATCGGGCACTGGCACGTATTTCGCAGAATGTAAATGTAACTTTACTGACCCAGAAAAGCGATGGGTTTTGTACTCGAGACAGGGTATGCATGTTCTTTTTTCTGGAACTAATTACTTTTTTCTTGTTAAAATTGGCATAACGAAACAACTCAACATCTGTATCAACGTCTTCTACTGACAACTGACTGAGCGTTTCATTCTTAGAATTTCTAGTTTCATTCACACGAGATGTGTCACTTCACGACCTCCTGACCCAATTCTGGGGTGAATTTTTTCTTTCTTGAGGATATAAACAGTGGTTATTCTAGTAATAACACGTGATAAGAGATATCATATTCCCTTCTGAAACGCTTCTTAAACTGAAGTTAAAGATAAGTCTACAAGATAAACATATAGAAGATAGTAAAGGTATCTGGTTCTCAAACAACTTCTGTTTTATATGATCATTCAGGTCAAAGATAGTTTACTGTTTCAAGGAATTTTATTATATTTTATTATCTCTGTATGAAGATTGCTATTAAATATTCTTTTAGCCATAGAGTATACAAAATGAATGTTCAACCAAAAAAAAACAACGATGTACTCTCATGCAATCTATCTTAAACATACACGATGCAAGAGCTAAATCTGCCTATTGCAAGTCTTTCTTTAGGCCTGAAATGTTATATAAACTAATAAACTATAACACATACTTATGGAAGAACAATTACTGATTTATTTAGGCGACGTTTCGAAGAGTTTTCTCTCAACGTTTTCAAGCAAGTACAGTAACAAGTGTGTAGGACAATTTTATATAGACAAGTAATAATAACAAATCAGAAACCATGCATGACAACAACAAGGACAAAGGCATGATAACAACATTATCAAAGGCAAGGTGCATTTGAAAGATTAGTGAGACCACTGATAATTGGTATAATTAACATTGGAGTTATTAATAATTAATTATAGGGGTAAATAATTTTAATTAGACAACCAATAATGACAAATCAGAAAACAAAAATGAGGTAAGGGTCCATCTTTGGGAGACAGACTTCTATTTCAGGTTTCGTCAAAATCGGATAAAAATTGTGACCTGTAGAGTGCCCACAAACAAACTGTGGACAGACGGACATCCTGGTGGACAGGGAGACGGCATACGTCCACATGAAAATATGGGCGTATAAAAATAGAAAGTTGCAGGGGGGGGGGGGGATTTTCTTTCGGGTTTCTCAAAAATTTCCTGAAGTATTATTCACTTCACCATCAAGTATTATTGGGTGGCTAAGTGGGTTAAGACGCTGGCTCATTAGCCTGGAGGTCACGTATTCGATCCCTGCAATGGCCGAGAAAGTTCATCGGTATTTTTCGACGTGGTTTCCCCCTTTACATTGGCGTGCATGTAAAAATGTAAAAGATCCCTTGGCAGCTGGAATTCAATATGAGTAGGCCATAGTGCTGCTGCCCGGGCAAAATTTCCCACATAGCACACTGCATGGCGTATGTCCGTCTTCATTAGCCCAGTCGGAGAAGAACGGTAGGACATTAAACCCAATTTCATTGATTATTTTAAAGCTTTTCAGCAGTGTATCTAAAATACACTAATTTATAATGATCAATGACGCAATAATGTGAGCGTCGATTTCAGAAGCCTGTGTCATTCCTTCTGTAATCTACTCTTTCTAATCGCTTTCTTAATATGTAAACAAATGGAAATTATAAAATTGTGTTCTTCGAGATCTTCTAAATGAACGTTAAGTTTTCTCATTTATCTTCATTATCCCGGTAGATACAGAGCAGTAGAGCGTTAAACCCATTTCAATTTTCATTCATGCATTCATTTAAATAATTAATTGAATCTCACTTCATTCGTAATTATTTTAGGATCTGATTTCAGCGTGGGTCAGTGAGTAAGGCCCACTTGTCAGTGGTGCAGTGTGGAGGGCCTCCACGGCAAGGGACATCGTCTAGTCATTCGGGTAATAGGAAGAAAACCGAGGTGCCGTGTACACGTTGGCGTGCACGTAAAATAACTTTGAAAGTTGGAATTCGAAACAAGAGTAAAACGTAGTGCCCATAGCACACTGCATCTGTGCCCGTCCGTCATTATCCCGGACGGAGCAGAAAGGTGGGACGTTAAACCCCGTTTAATTTCATTTCTGATTTCAGCATTGATTAGTTTAAATAAAAAGGAACGGATTTTTGCATAATACAGAAGAGTTGTATGTATGTTAAAGTGACATGAAATTGATTTAGAGTGGAAAGAGGATATCAGTGAAATAATAATGAAACAAATGACCACGTACAGGCCTACATGTATACGACCTTTAAATTAGTACGATATTGTTATAAAGGGGTTGACATCAAAGGTGGTGACATAACTATAAATGATGTAACACAAGTCTTCCAAATTTTACATATTACCCAGAGTAAGTGGCAACCTAACCATAGTTCCCCTTTGTTATTTGAAATCTCCTTAATCTTCTTCTTCTCTTATTTTACGCCATTACGATTCTTAAAAGAATGAGTTGCAAAACCTCTGTCTTAAAGTTTTGGGCAACTGGCCATTCTTGTTGTGCGGGGTAGGATATCTCGGCATGTTACATCAGTCAATAAACTTAACCTTACTCTTCTTGTCATCCTTTCTCCATCTTATATTACATTAAATGTCCCAAATGTTCCTTGGTATCAATTTTTTATCAGTTATTATATTTTTTTACTCTGAAAGCGTAAGTGCTTGATCTCGGGTCAATGCCCGTAGGGAATGCCGATCCAGGGGTCTTTTGTTCCATATCGAAATATAGATAAACGTCGAAATCCTAAATACTATAGTAGACAGCGTTAAGATATTGTTCGTCTGGTGTGGATTTCAGTTGTAAGGCATAAGGGAAACATATTTAGGAAGATATATTTTAAAGACGGACTTACTGTCCGATACATTTCGAATAATATAGATTACATGTAGGATAGTTGATGTCATGACGATTGTAAACACTATTTGTAATTTAAGAATGAATCATCTACCTATAGTTGTATATTTGTAAGTAATTCATTTTACACCAATTTGTGTGAACGAATAGACAATCACACCCGTATAAAGGTGATTTTAACCCCCACACAGTAACTAATACCTTTACTATCTATATTTATATTATTCATCTTAGATCCTCTTAGCTGTCATAATACATTTACCACGTGAGACTGTTTATCTATTTGTATATATTAGTAGTCGCAACTCTCCGTTAGCAACCTCGCCCCCGTCGGAAAACTCCTTATATGGAAAACGATGACGAAAACTTCCTAATATGTAAAGCAATGAAGCGCAACTAAAATAATCGCCTTAATGAGGTTTACGGCAGTCGGAGAGCTAATGAACTGAACAAAGACCGATAGAAGAATTATAAGTAAGTCTTGTGCAAGACATTTCTTTATTTAAGTGTTCTCTTAACTGGTAAATGAAACAAAAGATTGTCAATAAAGGACAACAGCAGCCATGTTGTCAACCCATGCTTCTAAATATAAAACGTGTGAACTAATATAACTGGGCGTGACTTGTTTCGTATTCAGCCAAACGTAGCCTGATTGAAACGAGAAGTCGGCTGACTGTATTAAGTTTACAAAGACTGCCTTGTCGTGACCAAACCAAGAGGGTATACACACTGAGTAGTCATTCTGAGCCAGTGTTGAGTTAGGATTGGACGGGGAAAGTTTACAGCTAAAGACGTTGAACGACAATCACGTTATTGATTTTCCCCAAGTTGTTAGGATTCAATGTACAGGTAAACCTTCATTTACTTATTGATATGTATAGGATTTATCTTATACTTACTGTAGTATTATTTATACATTGAATTTAAAAACTGTCACGTTTTGATTTGAAGTTAGACAGGTCTCGTTCCAATGTCGTATAGGTGCAGACAGTACTATTATATAGCATGTAGGTCACCGGTCGTTCTCAGACACACAACATTCCGTATATATAGGACAGAGTGAGCCAGGTAGAATATATATATATAACTATTACCCATATTGTTGAACTTGTTCACCGTTATATGTCATATAATACTATATAATATACACCTGTATGACAGTATATCCAAACATCAAAGAGAATAAAACCATTATTGATTATATCCTAATTCGGCATAATATAATTATACAATATCAACTAAATTCCCATGATTTTTAATAAAAAAACAACAACCCTATTTAATATTGTATATCTCAACACGTTCATATTATTACCCTTAGCATTTGTGGGTTTATATGGCGCACATTGTTCAAACGTTTACAATATTGAAAATATATACTCATCATTTATTTAAACCTAATAAATGATGTCGAATTGCTGATAAAATTCAAAATGTTTAAATTCAAATATTGTCTTTTAAACTGGAACAAGTTTGCAGCATGTTTGAATTAAATCTATTCATAACTCAGCTTATAAAGTACACGCTATTTTCTCTATGGGTTTATATATAGACGAAAAAATTGAAGATAAAATTTGCTAACAGCTGTGCAATATTGAGATAAAAACTCGATTATCACAACTGGGCCACTTTTGCAATCGGAGAGTTAATGTTTCCGGTAGCTGGTAGCTGGTCTAATAATATGACCTATCCCCTACCTACGCCGTCATACAGTGTTAGTGACTGTCAACACTTGAACTTATTGTCATTTTGGGCTAACTTGTTACAAATCATCGTCTTTTTGAGTTTGAATACGGATTGACTGTGACCGTGGGGTAATTGATAAGGTATAGCTAAACTATAATTTAAATTGTTCTTTCACTCAATGAATACATGGGAATAATTAATTAATGGTATTTTCTAAAAGTTATTAGTTATTCGTTGGGTAATTTTAATTTTGATTCCTTGTCAATATTGAAATTTCCTTTTGGCACATCCCTTTAAAAGTATTTATTTTATTGTTTTGTTTAATTCACATATGGTATTTTGACTAGAGTTGAATAATAATTGTATACATGTCTGGCGACTTTCGATACACGCTGTTAAACTTGCACGTGTTTCTCATTTCAGGTTTGTGTGACTGTCACCGTGTCACTGAGTTTGAGATAAATGTACACCGACCAGACATCAACACTCAAATCGGATTATTACTGTAATTCGTTTAGACGACCATAGACGACTGGTTCAGATATTGAATAGGTCTATCCATGACTATAGAAGTATAATATATATAATAGGTATACGTATTGTATGGCTCAAAATCTACAGTTCAATCTTCAAAACTTAGTACGTCAGTTGAAATTCGACTGACGATCGACCAAATAGTCTTGTCAACTCAAGAATTGTAGATGTCGGTTGGTTTGTTAGAACCAGCTATATACAGTACTAGCCCAATGAAGGAATTACGCACCCGTGTGAATAAAAGTGATAATGCTCGTGGACCAACCGAGAGTGACCAATTTGACCCCAACTTTATTATATATGATAATACTACCGATACAACATATCTACGTGGTAGATTATTGGGAAAGGTAAGTTATTTCAAAAATAATATAAACAAAACTTATAATGGTTAATATGCACTGTGTGTACGCATTATACTGATTTCGGTGATGACGTAACCGCCATAAAACACCGCCATTTCAACAGAAGCAAACACCATCTCGTTGAAAATTACAAATGTTTTTGCTCAAAGGCAGTTGGGTATTGTTATCTTTTCTGGGAGTTTAAGTGCCAGTCACTTCGAGCCACGTCGGCGACGTACAGAGTTCAGCATCCCTTGTATTAGTACCCCCCCCCCCCCCCAGACTGCGTAAAAGACCTCAGAGAAAATATATCCCCCCCTCCACCCACACCTACATTAATTCAAGCTTTCTGTAATTGAGTTCTATGTAATTATTTTATTATTGTTTAACGGTGTCAACATATATATTTCTATTTACAACATGCAGCTCTTAATTCATATATTAAAAACGTACAATCCGACTATTAAGATTTTATAGTTGATAATTACAATACAGATGGGTTATAAGTATATTAATCTCTAGGGGGTAAGAAATGCGAATTTCAGTCTTTTTATCTTTGCCACAATCAATTTTTACGAATTAAACATATTACAATATTACATCAACTTTCATAATATATCATATACTTATTAAACATGTCGCAATATTACCTATATTATCATACTGTAGACAGGTTCAAAGACGGTGTTCAATAAAGCATAAAATCAAGTTTACGTGGGCATATCGACAAGCTTATACTTAACAAATTTATCATATCGGAAATACATACGTCAGTGATGCTTGATAGGAAACTATGTCCCTATTACTCATTCGTTAGAATAATTTGTGTTTGTGACATGGTATATTATAATAGACCTTGTACTTTGACATTTTTAAGGGGAAAGTAATTGACACTTTTCGATGGTAGAGAGTGACTTGTCTCGATTTACATACATAATAAACTTTCCTGCTAGATATAGAACTAAATTGTTTTTAATTAGCACACAAGTATTGTTTTAAAACATTCTCATTTGTAGGCATTGTCCATCTGTTCTAATTAAAATTTCTGAAAACATTAACATGGGTCTACCATGATCACGTAAGAATTGAAATAAATATTTTTTTTAATTAATTAGTCTCCTTAAACAAGACAGAACAAGATCCACATAATACACCTGATTTCCCCAATTGATATCAACAGTAGTAATTAAAAGCATTGTTTGATTTTTTTTTTTTAACATAGTAAAATATTAAAGTATCGATAAAAGCTTTTGTTACAGAAATTACTGCCGTAGGACTTCAAAAAAATTGCTGATATGACGTCATATGTATCAATTTTCAATTTTGCAGTTAATGATTTGTTTGATTAGATTGAATCCCGATCCTGTATTATACAAAATTGTGTTTGTTGATATTATTTTAATCTGATTTATAAATATCATCGAAGTGCTACATACAGGGTTTGATTTGTAATATCAGAAACAATGAGATGGTTACTAAATTTTGAAAATATCCGGGTTCGGATTCACTACATTCAAACTTATCCGAAACGTAATCATGAATCCAAGATGACAAAACTCACATATGAACTCAAGTAACTTTCTAAATGTGTTCATTTTTAGTAGATAGACCGGTTATAACAATTACTGTTGTTAACTAGAAAATTGATTTCATTTATTATTCAAATTATGACAAATAGAAGAAAAATGAAATAAATCATGCCTGAGTTGGCAGATGTATGACTTAATTTCATATTGATATTTCCACCTAACCGTTTTATCACAAAAGAACCAACTACAGTTAGTTAACTCCCAGAAACAATTGATTCTCGTTCTGAATACTTGGCTAGTTTTCAGACCCGAATTTATAGATCAAAAGGATGAAAGCTAATTTAAATTGTGCTTTTGTCCCAAGTTGACCTGAAGTCATAGTTCGATATACACATTTCAATTTGACGTCTGATAAATGACTAAATGTCCTTGATGAAACGTGTATCGGTTTTAATCAGTTAAAGTTTTGATTGATTGTGAACGCTATCAGAAAATAACATCTCACACTCTTTCAACTTCAAAGTCTACGTGCGTCATATATATTTTTGGGAAAATATCAAATTGTCCATGGCTTAATCCACTCTAAAATGTACTCATATTTGTTATCTAGCATTTAATTAAGAAAAAATCAAAAGATTCTAGCGAAAATTATTACCATATCCCTTTTATATTGTCTACTTATTATACCATATTATATTTGTAAATACTGTTCAAACGGAACTAAACCACTTTGGACTGCTTTTAGAGATTCAACTTTCACAATATTGTAGTTTGCAAAAGATTTAGAGACTTGAACCGTTCACGTCATACTCGAAATTAAAATCAAGAGTATTAAGCAACTAAAATTATATACGGAACTACAAAACGCCGTTTGAATTTTACCTCTAGAACAATGTTTTCGAGGATCGTGTATGTGAATAATACACAGGAAGGGATAAGGGGGTATTTATTTGTGTTATAATTGTATAACGTGGGTGATTGTTATTCCAAGTATGCATAGAATTACTCTAGGATTTATCAAGTATTATCTACCGCATACTTTTATTTGTATAAGTATTTTATATGTGTGAATAGAGACACCGACACGATGTATTCATAAATCAGAACCCACATATCGATAAAGTTTTTTATACTTTATATCTGGGGGTCATAAGAACCTAAACTCCAGAACCCAATATACACGTACTTGTGGCATTAAAAGTTTATAAAAAATAAACAGTTATAGGTATTGGAAGTGGAATAAATCACCCATGAGGAAAATCTTCCGAAGACAGTTGATGATATACATCATTGTTGTTGCAATAGTTTACGTACATGCATAATACAAAGATATATTAAGAAGATAAGAACTTATATTATTACACTTATAACGTAATGGGATTAGTGAGGGTTTAGTGTCATGGTGATAGATCTTAAATATTTACACATTAGTACTTAAATCTCACAAGAGCTTAACAAAGTAACCATTATAATGATCGATTGGAGACAATGACTTCAAATTAAACAATAACCGAAATTTTACTTAATGATTCAATACTAAAATTCTTGTACCAATATTCCCGTTTGAATTAAGATTAATTGATGTGCCGAAATGTAGATAAAATATATAGTAAATACCGTTGTATTTCTATTTTGTCTTAGTTGTTTTCATTAGAAAAGCTGACCAAAGGGTTAATATTTTACAAACGTAGACGTGGGGAACACTTAGTTCATATGTATTAAATATCAGCATTTTATCATGTCTTATCACGGACATCAGTACATTCCCTCCACCCTTTAATTAACATAAGCCGAAATCGATGCGGTTTAACGTCCGAGTAGACGAAACAATCTAACGGCAGTCAAATTAGTACAAGAGTACCCATCACTATCATTAATGGATACATTATCGGCATTGAGTATTTTAATGTAAATTAAATAAACGACTATTTATCTACTTTGACTTGGCATAACTTTAACCATTTTACTGAAACAGGTTTAACTTCTTAAAGTCAGGTATTACCAATCTGGTATCAAAGTTAATGACACGCTTGCCTTTACATGTTACTAACTATTGCATAATCTAATAATTTATGTTTAACGAAGATGTCAGAATTACGTCGTTGTTATGCTACTGATGTTTACTCTGTCTACTTAAATTTCAATTCATCATTTCGATGTTAGAATTTATGGTCTCGAAATTTAAGGAAATAAATTGTCATGCAGAAATTGCTCGACTTACTTCTCTGTATGTATGACCGCATTAGTCGGTTATTCGATTTTTGAAAAATACGAATTTAAATTTAACGACCGTTAAACTGTTTTTGCATGCATCATCACACAATAAACTTAGGCTGTCTGTCTGCAGTTAACTCCGCTTGAGAAGAGACACTAAGCTAGTTGAGACCGACATTTTAAGTTCTAAATCCACGATTTTAGTCGAAAACACTAAGTATACTTCAACAATTTTGTTAAGTAGTTATTCTGCTTCCATTTAATAAAATTGCAAAAGTATATTTAGTTTTTGTGTGTACGACAGATGTGAAACAGGGTAGAACTGCATTATAAAACAGTATACTAATTTTTTGATATGGCGGCCATTTAGGACAGAGATCTGTTCTCGTAGTATGAAGTATATTGGATCTCTGTGTACATCATCAGTGTCAATCGCTTTGTCATTAAAAGTGATCACCGGGCATGGACTTATCAGTTAATTAGTTAGATAGCTCTACATCTCGATAAACCCCTTTTAAAGGGTATTCTACCACAGTGGTATGGCAGATCATTATCTTTGATAATCTGGAACATCGTCCATGGTAGATTGGATGTCGTATCCGCTGCCAGCACAAGAGGATTGATAATGAAACCACGACGCGCCGTTAGTCTATTCCGGGCCATGACTTTTCACGTCTTTTTTAACTGTATTAAAAAGGTCACAACATCTAAACAGAAGTTCATGGCTCTACTTTCTGTTCTTTGACGTTTTAAAACCCTTATTTGTATGTGCAGCTGCGGTACTTGTCTGAAGACCTTATTCTATTCTTTCCGTACATAACTATGGTATTTGTATGAACACGAAGACCTCATTGCCCTTCCGTCTGGATGAAATATGAACAAATTGTGGCGATATTATCTTGTAACACCAATGTAGTCACACCTTTTACTCATTACGGTATTTTTAGCAAACATTAACCACTTCATATTAGAGACAAGTTTTTTTATATACCCTACTATAATCTACAGGTACTCAAATACACCCTGATACATAGACCAACTTGACCCAGTTTGATTCAATGGTCATCTTTTCATTACACGCAACCCACAATGCGTATTACTTACAGCTTAGTAGTGTAGTATTCGTTTTCGCCTCTTCTCTTTTTACATTCAATCAATGGAAGACACCTTAAAACTTTATTTTGTGGGAGTTTCTTAACTGAAGCATGAACATGAGATCATTTTCTGGACAGGGCAAAGAGATATGACCGATGGGTGCAGCGT